ATAACCCTGTTGAAGAGTGGTTCTTCCACCGGTTGAAAGCTGGCCGCCCAATCCCAGTTCCAAACTCGGGGATACAAATTACACAGCTTGGTCATGTCAAGGTTAGTGTGAAGTGTCAGTCAGTCATGATGTACTTCTTTAGATTTCTGTATTGCAGCATTTAAAGGCAAATTTTTATGTGAATTCGTTTTGCAGGACTTAGCGACAGCCTTCATTAAGGTTCTTGGTAACGAGAAGGCCAGCAAACAAGTATTCAACATCTCCGGAGACAAATATGTCACCTTTGACGGACTAGCGAAAGCATGCGCAAATGTAATTGCTTGCTGAATAAGTTTCTAGACAGACAAATATTCATAATCTTCTCAAACTAGAGTTTCTCATATGTTTTCACATTTGTTAGGCTGCTGGTTTTCCTGAGCCTGAGATCATTCACTACAACCCTAAAGAGTTCGATTTTGGCAAGAAGAAGGCCTTTCCATTCCGTGACCAGGTAAACATGGTCTTAGAGACGTTTTAAGAATTTGATAAGAAGCTAAACAAAACTTGTTCTATTACTTTCATGAAGCCGGAACCTGACTAACCAACTTCGATCGTGTAACGCAGCATTTCTTTGCATCGATCGACAAAGCAAAGAGCGTGCTCGGATGGAAGCCCGAATATGGCCTGGTGGAAGGTCTTGCAGACTCGTACAACCTGGACTTTGGGAGAGGAACATTCAGGAAAGCAGCTGATTTCTCAACAGATGACATCATTCTTGGCAAAAGTCTTGTCCTCACCTAAATCTCTAAACGTAAAATATATATATTTGGTTGGTATTTTAGTCCAAAGTCCACAAATATGTTATTTGAAAATTAAACCCTGCGACTAATCTTTCGTTGAATTTGTTCCAATTGGGGTAAGGACATTTCTATATTTTTCTAAATGCAAGGATGAACAAGTTCAAGCAAATCAAACAGCCAGATTCAGCAGCGTTGCCGAATTGGCGTCAACAGCGACACTGGAGTAAATGTAAAGGCCGCAAGAGAAGAAAAACTTACATGTCACGGCTATATGTTTCCTTCTCTCTATCTCTTCTCGAATTCTCGATCTGTCTCATCACCTGATCGAAAAAATGCCAAAATTCTTTCACACTTAACCCACATATTCTTTCTGGGCCACATGCGAATATGGGCAGTCTTGTGGAGATATTTTGGCCTGTTTTTGGTGTGACAAAGTGTGTATTTTCAGTTTTGAGCCTACCCCAATTCCCTAAACCACAACCCAACGATTGACTTGTTACCGAAGCCTTTTCTTTTTCTTCTTTCGTATTCTAGATTTTTGGTTAATCGAGAAATTGAACCTTAAACCTATTATGCCCTAATCGAATTCTAGACCTAAGGGCAACCCTAAGCTAAGAAGGCTCGTCGCTTTACGAGAATTTTGAAAAAAAACTTCTATCGTACGTATTTTCACACGAATCGAATTCTAGACCTATGATATCCTAATTTCTATTCTCAGCTGATGAGAACAGACATTCGATATAGTCCCCATTTTCCATCCAAATACACCTAATCCATTCAAGGAAGGTTCCTATATTCAAAAGGAAAAAGTGCCAAATAAATGCACTCAAATATCAGTGGCTCAAAATCAGGACATTAAAAAAATAGAATCTTGACCGTTAAATCAAAGATCCCAAAATTCTTATTATTATTTTTTTCCGAAAGGAATAGAAGATTCTCCAAGAATATCTAACCGAATATTCCTCAGATTTTGAAAACATTTTTCGTAATTTCATTTTCCTATTTTTTTACGAAGTGGGTCAAAAAAGTGTACTAGTGACCTCAAAATAACATTATCGTATAACGTTTTTTCACTCCAAAGACCAAAACATTATCCAAAGATTTGGTCGGTAAACGTTATCCTATAAACTAATGGGCCCGCCAGGGCCCACCGTCTCAAACTGCCACACCAAATTAGTATCTGCGTGCTAATTAGCTTTAAACGCGTTTTAATTTGGACCAACTAACATAACTAGAAACCGACACTCGGAAAAAATTAGTAGGGAGTCAGATTGTCTAGGTGTCATTCTCATCCTCTTCTATTTGTATAGTTACGGTTAAATCACGTTAATATTTTATATTTTTATATTTTTATGTTTTATTATCTTTATAAAAAAATATAAAATATTAACGTAATTTAATTATAACCGCACAAATAAAAAATAATGAGAAGGCCATTAAAAAAAAGGAGGCAGACAATCTCCCTCCAATTAATGGTGCCTCGTTGCTTCTCCGAACGTCCTCCTCTGCCACTCGGCGCGCCCACATGGCATCTTCCCGTGCGGTTGCGGGACACGTAAGATATTCAATGGGAGGGGCCCAGTTCTATAGAATATCCTAAAAGTGTACAAGTTGGGGTGGAAAAAGTAATTCGGTTTGAAGTAGGTGGACCCCGCGTTAGTAAATCCAGGCGGCTGTGAGCGCGCCACGTATCTGTGATTTTCCACGTGGCGAGGAGGGTGTGACTGTCGTGTGATGAGATTAGAGGTTGGTATTCTTCGTTTGGTGTAAGTCTTAGCAACTTCCGACGGTGGAAAGTGGACATGCAAAACGTTACGTATTGTTTATTTTGAATTTACCATTTTCTCCCTGCTTGTTATCAAAAGAAATGGGATGATAATAGTTTATTTTAACAAAATAATTAAATTAATCATTTTTTTTTCTCTTTTGTACGCACCAATATTCTTATTCTTTGCAATTTTTAGGATGTCTACTTCATGCACGTAACTTGTTTAAGTGATATGATCTTACTTTTTCAACGCGATTATTAAAATGTGATTTATCAAAATCACTCATCTCTTATTAATTTTTATATGTTTCTTAAACATATAAAATCAGAAAAGTATGAATATTTTTATAAAAAATCATGAAGAACTTATTGAACATAAGTCTGGGAATTGAGAAAATAAAACATAACACATAACAATAGGGAATTAAGTTGAGACAATACATATATGGTTAGGAGTGTGTGGATGGTCCGTCTTTATGAGTATATGATATAGAACCATAGTGGGTTTGATCGTGGGTATGTGTTGTTCTCGCGTTACTGGGTTTATTGTAACACTATGCTTCTACACTTTATGTGCGATGTGGGATTGGTGCACGTGTGGTCTATTATGTTGTGGTCCCATGTGAGATGGCGTGTTGAATATAAGTCCCACATCGAGAATTGAGAAAATAAAAAACAATATATAAGTGTATGGTTTCATTCTTAATAATATCGAGCTTGTTGTGATAAAACGCAACACCTAACAATAAATTGATTAACGGTTATAATATCGGTGTAATAAGGAGTGGGCCAGTGACACGCCTTTCTGAATACTTGATAAAACTGTAACACTTACTATAGTTGTATTAGTTTAATACATATGAGGACCATCTATTTCCTAATATATTATTGATTATTCTCATTTTACTCTTCCACGAGGGGAGTTTGATTTTTGTAAAATTGAAATCAAACTGAAATTTTCAGCCTAATATGAAAGGACTCCAATTCTAAGATGTTTGACTTCTTCTTTATTTTCATTTTTATTAAATACAGTGTGGAGTAGCAATATCACATGTAATAAAATGTATTTATTTCATTTAAAAAAATGTATTTCTTTTGGTAAAATATGTCTTTCATTTGTTTCATTTCACCATATATTTTGAGATCCATGTACATAATGTAGAAGATTTTCCTAGATCGAAATGGTAATTAAAGTCCGGATAATATGAAATTTAAAAGAATAAATACCTCTAATTATACTTTCCGAAATTTGTGTGGCAACTAATATGGAAAATGATGATTGACTAAGACATTTTTTTTATGTGTTTTATCTTTAAAAGAAATATGATCCCACAAATACAAACAAGCATGAAACATATGCTTGCGTAATCGTCCATAGGTCAACTATTGGATATGTAATATGGAATAACTGTTAGAGACTCAAATGGTGGATAGGCAAGCATGATAACTTATATGATGTTCTAATTTTTGACCAATCAGAATTGCTCCCTAGGATCTATAGTTGCCTCAAAAGGTCCAATAATGTATGTATATTGACCTTTTGAATAACAGTCAAGAAGATCTTATGAAAATTAAACATTTTCGCATAGAAGATGTCAAACATATATTGAACATTCTAAAAATAAAAAAAGCAATAGTTGGAGACAAGAGGTTCATAAGAGAAAACATAAGTAAACAGGTCTCCGCTTGAGCCTCCAAAGATAAAATAAATTATGGACTCATTTGGTTGTATTTTTAAAATGATTGAAATCGTTTTTAGAGAAAATATTTTTGGGTCCCAAAAGCACTTGAAGTGCTTTCTGCAATAAGCATCAATTATGTGCTTTTTCCAGGAAGCACTTTAAGTGTTTTTTCATGAATTACTTGCATTTTACTAAGGATTATTCCAAAAATATTTTCCTCAAAAGTGTTTTCAGTTATTTTAAAAGTACATCAAAACGAGATTTATGTTTCCACATATAAATATGATCCCTTAAATCCCTATAAGCACGTCGATTCCCATAATAAATAAATAAAAGTGCGTTGACGTCCACTACTCTGAAATAGTTGTGTAAAAAATGATAAATAAGAAGGTTATTATCGTCTATGAAATTTAAAAGGGTCGGCCTACAGGATCAAAATTTATTCGTTAATTAATTTGGAGCTTATGTCACGCTTCATCAAGGGCCATAATCCTCTCTAAAACTGCCCAATTAATTCCCTACATTTATTTGATGTTGATACTAATTAGATAACGTCTTCAAGATCTTTGAATAATATTATAAAATGACCGATGGGCCCAATGGCGTGACTCTTCACCTTAGACCACAAGCAACATTAAAGTACTTACCCTAATCTCACATTTTTACCATAATTTGACCGACCGATCCTATTTATCCCACCCAAAAAATGAATTAAAAAAATTAGAAATTACCCCCTCCCCAATTCTATATAAACCCCCCCCCAACCCACTGCCCCAACTCATCAACCAAAACATTGAGTTCTAAACCTTATTGAAGCAAGAAACATAACCTTTTCTTCCAAACAAACACCAAAAGCCTTAAATCTTCCTCTCCATTTTACTACTTGAAACCTTTTCGCAACCAAACCCAATTCAGCCTAAACACCATGGCTCCTGCGATCACCACCCCCACCGCCGCTATCGCTGCCACCAAACCACCAAGCGGGCCCAATAGGGCCTACGTCACCTTCTTGGCTGGTGCGGGAGACTACTGGAAAGGAGTTGTTGGCTTAGCCAAGGGGCTAAGAAAAGTGAAGAGCAAGTACCCGCTTGTTGTGGCCATGCTGCCCGACGTCCCTGAAGAGCACCGCCGGATTCTGATCTCTCAGGGCTGTGTGCTCAGAGAGATCGAGCCTGTGCACCCTCCTCCCAACCAGACCCAGTTCGCCATGGCATACTACGTCATCAACTACTCCAAGCTTCGCATTTGGGAGGTAACGTTTTAAACTCTTTTAGTGCTTTCGAGAGATTTTTTTAGTATGACTGTCATAAAAGGTATTACAAAGATATGTATGTTAAAAATTTAATAACTTAAAAAATAAAATTTTTCATCACTTACATAAAAATTACATAAAAATAAGTGATTGAATCACCTTCACAGTTAAAAATTTCTCAGTGCTTTCATGCCGTTTTTAACACGTATATGTTTCAAGGTTAACTGGTTTTGACGCGTGTCCTTTTTGTCGGTTAGGTTTTTAAAAGTTTGTGATCAATTTTATTAGGTCGTGTTATTTTATAGATAATATTCATATGTGATCCTATTTTTTTTTTTTTGGCAAACCATATGTGATCCTAATTTTTCAATGCAAATTTTGCAGTTTGTGGAGTACAGCAAGATGATCTATTTGGACGGAGATATTCAAGTTTTTGAGAACATCGATCACCTCTTTGACTACCCGGACAACTACTTCTATGCTGTGAAGGACTGCTTCTGTGAGCCAACTTGGAGCAGTAGCCCACAGTATAAGATAGGGTACTGCCAGCAGTGCCCTAATAAGGTCCAATGGGACCCTAAGTTGGGCCCCAGGCCTCCCCTCTATTTCAATGCTGGCATGTTTGTGTATGAGCCAAGCTTGCCGGTCTACCATGACCTCCTCAAAACCCTCCAGATTTCTCCCACCACATCTTTTGCCGAGCAGGTAAAAGATTACTATTCGACCGACAAAACTTTGGTTTAAAAATATTACTTAAATTGTTTTATAATTATTTATTAAGCTTGTAATTTCCTTTTTTCCTGCAGGACTTCTTGAACGTGTATTTCAGGGACAAATACAAGCCCATCCCTTCAAATTACAACCTTGTGTTGGCCATGTTATGGCGTCACCCTGAGAACATTCAACTTGACCAAGTCAAAGTTGTTCACTATTGTGCCAACGTGAGTACTAGTTAAAATACAAATTCATTTCTAACAATATTGATGCACGTTCGTTCTTGCTTTAATATCTGTCTACAACTTATAAAATCGTAACACATTTTAATTTTTGTTCAGGGTTCTAAGCCATGGAGATACACTGGGAAGGAGGAGAACATGGAGAGGGAAGACATTAAGATGCTGGTGAAGAAATGGTGGGATATTTACGACGATGAGTCATTGGACTACAAGAATACCGTGGTTTCAACTGAGGCTGATGTGCAGCCATTCAAGGAGGCGGCCCTATCGGAGGCTGGCGTGCCCGACTTCGCTACCGCCCCATCTGCCGCTTAATTGATGCCTGCGGTTGCCCTGATGAGAAATTCAAGTTTATACAACTATACAGGGCTTTGTTTTTTGTTTAATAATAGTATTGGGGTTGTTTTTGTTGCCTCCCCTTATGTTGATTAGTTTTCCCTCCAAATGTTAAGTTGGTGAACAAAGTGTTAGAAATATATTAATTATTGAATTTATATATCTTATTCTGTCACCCTGCACTCTTTATTTTGTTTAAGTCTTATACCAATTTTGCATCTGAATGATTTACGGTTTGTATTATCTTGCAAATAAAACAAGCCTGCTATACTACCAAACAAAGCATAGTCGATCCCGATATAGTTAAAACCAAGAACCGAATGAACAAAACATTGCTAAAATCTGGAGTTAATGAAAGCCTCTGAACTTCTCATTTCAAACAAATCTGATGAAATAGGATAGAATTTAAATACGTAATTATCTAGAATACGTGAACTATATTTTTTTATATTTTTCGATGCCTGGAAGGGACCCCAAAAAAAGGGTTCAGAGTCATTTCATTTCAAACAATTATACAGTTCATAGTTATTTTTTAGTGAACTTTAACATAATCTATGTTTTTTTGAGAGACGATATTTCTCAATATTATATTTGAGAATTGAGCAGCAAAGTATTACTATTTTTTTGTGGATCTACAGTACATTACAATTGTTAATGTAGTGGGAAGCATCTCTTGTCCTAGTGCAATGTCGGGTGTTATGACAATTGCTTTAGGGATTCCTTTTCTTCAAACATCATTTGGGAAATGCCCCTTTAAGTCCTATCCTATCGAATCATTGTATGAGTTTAGCTTTAGGAAAAACTATGGTTTCGCATGCGCTTAGCAGGAGCCTTGATTCATCTTAAACATGTGAGACTCACCCTTTTCACGGAAATTGAGTTAAATTGGGCTTCTCAAAAAATGAGGAGTTCCCCGTCAAAATACTTAGTCACAAGGTTTACAAAACTTTGTGCTTATGATAAAAATCGTTAACATTATAAATTACTTTGTAAAGAACAAAAAATCAATTGAAAACGAGGTTGTTTATTCAATCAACTGTAGCAAGTAGATTGATGGTTCATTATGCTTTTATAAAATCCGTTCATTTGTTTTTACATAGTTCGATCACCAAAAGTGATCTCATTTGTTAACTTTTTTGCAAAGATGATCTTTACAAAATTATTTATAACATTAACTCTTCTGACATAAGCATGAAGTTCGGTTAGTTGGTGACGAAGCGTATTGAGAAGGAGTTCCTCCTCTCATTTTTAAGTAACCAAACATTGTTCTCCGAAAAATAATTTTTAGGTGTTCTGCTTTTGTAATATTATTAAATTGGAAAAATTGAAAAAAGAGATGTGGGGGCTGGCCATGTTGTAATATAGGTTCCCAGTAATCTGGGTACCCAAATTATAATCCATTTATGAATGCAAATTCTTTTTCATTTTAATTCTTGCTAAAATTTCATCTGTTTTGGGTCTTTGAGACTGCTGGCTGCTATGTTGTTGCTCTGCTCCTTCAACGCTCTGGAGGGAAGAGCCAAAAGCTGCGTAAATTCAAACATTGAGTACAAAGCTGCCAAAAAGGTGAACAGTTAAATTAGTGCAAAGACTTATTTTTAGATGGGGTGAACTGTCGGTTTACCCCCTGAACTTTCACCTCACTTTCGATTTCCCCCCTGAACTTTTCTATTGGAAAATTAAGGACTCAAACTAATTTTTTTAGCCAATTTGCCCCCTACCGTTAGTTTTTCATATATTCCATCCATATTTCCGTTAAGTGAGACCATGTGCATAACATGTAAGGATAGTTAAGTCATTTCAATTTAAAAATGATTAAAAACTGAAAATAAATAATAATAATAATTTTCCCTCTATTTTTTCCCGCTAATTCCTATCCTCAATTTTAATTTTCCCTCTCATTCCTATGCATGAGAAATAACATATGGTGTTATTGTTTTCATAAGTAGCTAAGTTAATCTTTTTTTTGAAGCATGTACTACCATTTTTATTTTCTCTAACAAATTAATAATTTGACAAATGCTCATAGTGTTATTGTCTCCAAAGCAGTGCATTAATATAATTTGACAATAGCACCATTAGCATTTGTCAAATTATTAATTTGTTAGAGAAAATAAAAATGGTAGACAATAACACCATATGTCATTTCTCATGCATAGGAATGAGAGGGAAAAATAAAATCGAGGATATGAATTAGCGGGAAAAAATAGAGGGAAAGTTTTGCTTTTTTTATTATTTTCAGTTTTTTAATCATTTTTAAGAGTGAAATAACTTAACTACCCTCACATGTTGTGCACATGGTCTCACTTAACGGAAATATGGATGGAATATATGAAAAACTAACGGTAGGGGGCAAATTGGCTAAAAAAATTAGTTTGAGTCCTTAATTTTCCAATGGAAAAGTTCAGGGGGGAAATCGAAAGTGAGGTGAAAGTTCAGGGGGTAAACCGACAGTTTACTCTTTTTAGATGTGGGTTTTCGTTTTTACTTATTTAATTGGGCTAGACTTTTATATATCTATTTTCCCTCAATATATTTGGGTTATTTTGCCTTGCTATGTGTTAGCCTCTAACCTTCTTTCGGATTAATGAAATTTATATTTCAGACCAAAAAAAAAAAAAGAAAGAAAAAAGATGAAACTCACACATTAGGTGTGTGTGAATATAAAAAATTTAAAATGAAGAAAATATATGACAAAGAGAGAAGTTTGAGAGAAATGTGAGAGAAAATGTGAGTTAATTTTACATGTGGATGAGGTTTGAAAAAAAAAAAAGAGTAAAATTTAATGTGTGAAATTACATTGCCTCTCATGATTTTATTTTATGATAGAATACCAAATTGTTTTTTTACCCTCTTTTGGTTTAACCAGAACGCATAAACACATAACAGCCTTTGTTATCTTTAACTGGAAATGAATACACGGCGATTTGGGATTAAAACTTGAGTTAGTCAATGCCCATATCTGATTGATTACCAACACCAAAGTTAAGGTGAGCTAAAACCATACAAAAGATATTGATTGTAAACCACAGATACCATACAAATTCTCAGGCAGATCATCGGGCCAACAATGCAACACGATCCTTCTGTACAGCCTGTGTTAAGTTGATGTCGAAGAGCTCGCATCGTATAGGCATCTCCATCTCGTAGAAGGGATTCTTCAAGACGTAATCCGTGTACAACTCATAGATATGTTTCAAGAGACCTTCCATGTGCTGTGTCCCAGGCTCAGAGACAACAAAGAACTTTGTCCCTGCAAATAGTGAAAATATAAATCATCACTTTCACAATCCAAGACATTCTTCAAAATTTCCAGAAAAATGTTCTCTTCCCAGGATAAATTAAACAGCCACAGGAATGAAAAGAATGTCATTGAAACCAACATCCTGCTCGATAAGAATGTCTCAATTCAAAAGGAATGAAAAGGCCAAGCCTAACGTAACAGAGACTCAATTTCTCTAAAATCAGAAACAATAAAACTTGTCAACACTCAAACAACCAGTAACTTCCGGCTGAACAAATTCCAAACGAGGCAGATGGATCCGAGTCAATATCCAGGATACTAAACCAACTCATTCGCCTTATGAAATTCAAGTATAGTGGCTGTTAAGATGTGTAAAATGTACAGTGTTGTGATCTAGCATATAGAAACTAGAACGAGCAAAAAAAAAAAAAAAAAGTTTCACCCTTTCTATAACCAGAACAAAGAAGATCCTAGTTATGTGGAAATCGATAACATCACACAGGATTACGTAGAGGAAAACTCGTGTCCATAACTCATCTTCAAAATACAGAACCGCAAGATAGATGTTGTTGTTGACACCAAATGGCGTACAAAAGCACCACGATTAGTTATGTCAGTTAACAGATCAACTCACTCAATCCCAATATTTAGCAGTCACCCCACTTGCGAAACACTCGTTGTGCACCCATCTTCCAAATTACAGAACCACAAGATATAAGTTGCCTAAATCTTACACTTGGCTTACAAGAACACTGCCATTAGCTGTGTCAGACATTGAACAAATCAACTTGCTCGATGACAATATTTAGCATTCACCTCAGTAATGAATCTATTCCTCCGCTCCGCGAAATAATCGTCATCCGCTAGATTCTAACCTAAATTGGTTCTAAACTACTGCAATACAACAACAACAACAACAACAAAGCCTTTTCTCACTAAGTGGGGTCGGCTATATGAATCCTAGAACGCCATTGCGCTCGATTCTGTGTCATGTTCTCCGTCTAAACTACTGCAATGCACAACAGAATTCAGAAATAGGACTAGCAACAGATAGATAGCCAATTTATTCCGCGATACAAAATCTTCTCAACTTAAGCTCACCCAATTCAAAGGCTCACTAACTTTACCTTCTACATTCTACACAAAACTTACAATCTGCAAATTTGAAATCAATTAAATTTAAGTGAGACTTCAATATTTCAATTGCAAATTAGTCCTAAACACATTAAATTACAGTACAAATTCTAGAAAAAGAGAAAAAGGTCAAGACTTTGAAATGTACCAGTGAGTGATTGGAAGCAATTAAGATCGAAGGTGTCAGCTTGAAGGAGTTCGATTCCGAAACAGCCCGATACCGGCGACAGCTGCTGAGAAATGGCGTGCATCGAGTGCCACAAGCTCGCAACCCTCAAGGTATCGTTAGTGTCCATCCTTCCGGCCGACCCGTAATCCTAATTTTGTTTCCGAAAGAAGAATCGAAATTCGTTAACTTTCATGTTTGGTTGCTGAGAAAAAAGAGGAAAATAAATGGGAAAATTGAAATCTCTAGGGTTTTGTTACCTTGTAGTAGATCAAGCCGCCAGATTTGTTGATGATGTAGAGACTGTAAATTGCTGCCATTTCCAAGGGCTATTTCGGAATCCAAGAAAAACACCTTCAGTCCAGATTCAGGAGTATAGGAGAGAAGACTTGTGATCCAGTTACCGCAACCTAGAAGTTGGGTCCGACCCGAACCCGTGTCCGGATCCGAACCCTTATTTGTTTGTGTAAATGCAGCAACGTGTCTGCTTTTCATTGGATGACATGGCAAACTACCAACTACCAACTACCGAGTTCGTAGCTTCCGAGTTCCGAGTTTGTGACTGGGAGCTGTCCACGCCTCCTCCACTGAGTCGACTTCCAAACTCGTCCCATCGCCGAAATTTTTAAAGAATCCGTCACGTTCATGTCGGCACACACACTTTCTCTCTCCTAATCTCATCTCTCTCTCTAATCTCATCTCTCTCTCAGCGGCTTAAAATTCAACTACCCAGGAATCAATGGCCACCCGCCGCCTGGCTCCAAGCCGCTGATCGAGGACTTCAGTCTCACACTCAACGCCGGCGACCGATGCCTCCTCGTGGGATCCAACGGCGCGGGGAAAACCACGATCTTGAAGATCCTGGGCGGCAAGCACATGGTCGAGCCCCACATGGTTCGCGTGCTCGGAAGGTCGGCGTTTCACGACACCACCTTGACCGGCTCCGGTGACCTCTCGTATCTCGGCGGAGAGTGGCGGCGAGATGTAGCGTTCGCTGGGTTTGATGTCCCGATTCAAATGGACGTTTCGGCAGATAAGTTTATCAATGGGGTGGCGGGGATCGATCCAGAAAGGAGATCAGAGCTGATAAAGGTTTTGAATATTGATCTTTCATGGCGGTTGCACAAGGTGTCCGATGGTCAGAGAAGACGAGTGCAAATCTGTATGGGTCTGCTCAAGCCATACAAGGTAGTCAACGTCCATTTTTCACAGTTTTGATGGTGTATTTTTTTACGCATGCCAAGTGTTTGATGATTTGTTTCTGAATCCAAATAGGTTCTTCTGCTAGACGTGATAACGGTGGACCTCGATGTCCTAGCAAGAGCTGGCCTTCTCAAGTTCCTGAAGAAGGAATGCGAAGAACGAGGCGCCACGATCATTTACGCCACGCATATATTTGACGGGTTGGAAGATTGACCCTTGCATATCGCTTATGTTGCGAATGGGAAGTTGCAGCTAGCAATGCCAATGGAGAAAGTTAGGGAGATCTCCAAGTTGTCACTAATGGTGAGTCAAAAGGGTAATTTATTTATTATTATTATTTTTTTGTAACCGTATGATTGGATTTACTGAGATTGGATTTGGGTTTGGTATGCAGAGGACAGTCAAGAGTTGGCTGAGGAAGGAGCGCGAGGACGAGAGGAAGAGAAGGAAGGAGAGAAAGGCGAAGGTTCTTCCGGAGTTTGAGCAACCAAATGAGTGAAGCAATGATGTTCACTCAGTGAACAATGGTTGGAGGCCTGAATTCCACCATTGCCGGAGAAGAGAACTTTATCTTCAGCTCAAACGGAGTTCTCAGGCAATAACAGATGCTTAGTGACTCAAAACCATTGTGAGTTGAATATCAGAATATGCAACAAACGAGACTAACAAAATAATAGTATTATTAAATAAACGAGGATGCTGAAACGACTATAAAACTCCAAGAGGCTACACTGTGAATGACTTGTTTATTCTAGGAGCTACAAAGCATCATAGATATAGAGAATTAACCTAATCCTAATAAGCAAGAAAACGAAACCCTAACCCTAATACTAACGGGCTAAGCCCAAATTCAAATAACAAAATAATCCTAAATTCCAACACCCCCCGTCAAACTCATGGCGGTACATGTCATGAGTTTGCCAACAAGCGGATGCGGATGCAAGCTCCGTTAGGCGGAGAAGACAAGACAAGATCCATTAGGCGGACACGACAAGGCAAGCTCCGTTAGGCAGACAAAACAAGGCAAGCGATTCAAGCTAGCAAACGAACAATCCAAGCGAGCAGGCGAGCGAGCGAACAAGCAATTCCAGCAATCAACAAATTATGGCAACCAAATGTTGGAAGTATGGACTCTGTCACTAAACGAACTAAATTCTTATATCCCAACTGCAGCAACGAACGAATAAAAAACAAAACTTATCACTCTGGTGGTCACAAGTTCAAGCACTCGAGTGATTGGCAAACAAATTTCATTCCAAATCAACCAATACAAGCCCAACGATAGCTTCAATCAACAAGGACCAAAGCTTCAACTCCATTCTCTTTTTCTTCAGTTCACGTTAGCAAACTGAGTGCAAAACAAGTGCAAACCAACATTCTGAACTCAGACTCCGAGGTGTGGTTACATGCTTTTCAAGCGAGGAAGCAAAAGACCGTAGTGTTGTGTTTGGCTCATATAATTATGAGTTGGCAAACATTTCCTCTCAACTTTGTGGACTTTGAAAGCATGTTTTGTGGAAGCATGTTTTGTGGAAGCATGTTTTGAGGAAGCATGTTTTGTGGAAGCATGTTTTGAGGAAGCATGTTTTGTGGAAGCATGTTTTGTGGAAGCATGTTTTGAGGAAGCATGTTTTGTGGAAGCATGTTTTGTGGTTGACATAATTGATGGTGCATGTCTATAAGTGAAGGCATTTTTCACACACAAAATGGAGTGAGCTTGTCGATTGTGAGGATTGGGAGAGCATCCAAAGGAAAACACAAGTGAGAGAAAATATAGAGTGATAGTGAGAAGCTCTTGGGGAGAGTAAGACTCTTGGGAAAATTCTGTGAGGGTACAAGGGATTGGGGTTTGGGTTATGTCGATTTAACTCAAGTGTATCTTGTACTAGTTATTCTCATAGTGAAGAGTAATATCTCCGGGGACGTAGGCAGGTTTTTGCCGAACCTCGTAAATTTCTCGGTGTCTTTATTTCTTGTATTTTAAATTGTTCAACTGTTGGTTTATAAGTTGGTGAGATAACGGGCCAAGGCACAACAATTGGTATCAGAGCTTTGTTGGAAGCTTTGGTTCATTGACGGTTCAAATTTTTTATTCACCATGATGACTACAAACATGTCATTTTCAGTTGAGAAGTTTAATGGGAAAGGCAGTTTTACTCTTTGGCAGATGAGAGTAAAGGATGTCTTGACTCAACAAGGCTTGGCTAGAGCTTTGAAGGGAAAAGATAGGAAGCCTCAAGAAATGACAAATGACCAGTGGGAGGAGCTGGAGGCGCGTTGTGTTAGCACGATTCGACACTGTATAGCTGATAACATTATCAATAATGTTATGGATGAAGATTCTGCGCCTGCACTTTGGGAGAAGTTGGAAAAACTCTATATTGCTAAGAGTTTGACCAACAAGTTGCATTTGAAGCGGAAACTGTACAAGCTGAAGATGGATGAAGGTGGGAATCTCATGGACCACATGAATGAGTTCAACGGATACTTGGATCAATTGCGGAAAGTTGATGTTAAGGTTGAGGAAGAAGACAAAGCCCTCTTACTTCTTACCTCACTTCCAAATTCGTATGAAAATCTTGTGACAACCTTACTGCATGGAAAAGATACAGTAAGTTTGGAGCAGGTGCAAGCTTCTTTGGTGTCTTATGATACACAAAAGAAGAAGACCATTGTTGATGGTGGGCACGAGACTGCTTTAGCTGTTCAAGGTTGGAATCGTGGAAGAAAATTGGGAGAAGGATCTGAGAGAGACAACAGGTTCAAATCCGGTTCCGGAGGCAAAGGTCTACAATGCTACAACTGCAAAGAATTCGGGCATAAAAAGAAAAATTGTCCTTTGAGAAAAAGAAAGGATGATCTTGGTCCGGGTTGTAGCAATTTTGTGGCGGAAGACTTCGAGTATGCCCTCTAGGTACTCGAAGCAACACTTCTCCTGGTGATGTTTAGTCTCAAGTGTTGCAAGGGTTTTGCAACAGGTGGAGCTATGGGATTCACAGGTGATGAGATGATCATGAGGTAGGAGGAAGTGTGGGAATTTTGTCTGGCTCGATGGGTTGTTACTGGAAACGGGCGCGCTGACGAGTTTCCAGGTTGCAGACAATGAAGAGGAGGAAAACCTGCTGGAGGAGACGAGGATATGTCGAGATCCTGTCTGAAGCTAAATGGTGATTTTTAGCTTGCAGCAGCTGCACATGCATTGGCAGTGACTGAATCGGAACAGGACCAACGAGGTTGATTCAGGGTGTGTATGCTGGTACGTAAGGCCAATGGACTTTGGTGATGGGTGCAAGGATTTTTGCACAGTATATTCGCCAAGGTGGAGATTGTTGTGTTTGGCTCATATAATTATGAGTTGGCAAACATTTCCTCTCAACTTTGTGGACTTTGAAAGCATGTTTTGTGGAAGCATGTTTTGTGGAAGCATGTTTTGAGGAAGCATGTTTTTGTGAAGCATGTTTTGTGTGGTTGACATAATTGATGGTGCATGTCTATAAGTGAAGGCATTTTTCACACACAAAATGGAGTGAGCTTGTCGATTGTGAGGATTGGGAGAGCATCCAAAGGAAAACACAAGTGAGAGAAAATATAGAGTGATAGTGAGAAGCTCTTGGGGAGAGTAAGACTCTTGGGAAAATTCTGTGAGGGTACAAGGGATTGGGGTTTGGGTTATGTCGATTTAACTCAAGTGTATCTTGTACTAGTTATTCTCATAGTGAAGAGTAATATCTCCGGGGACGTAGGCAGGTTTTTGCCGAACCTCGTAAATTTCTCGGTGTCTTTATTTCTTGTATTTTAAATTGTTCAACTGTTGGTTTATAAGTTGGTGAGATAACGGGCCAAGGCACAACACGTAGCGGGGTGGAGGGTTGGTTCAGCAAATCTGGTCAGGATGGCTTAGTCGGCATAACGACAGATGTGCAACAGCAGGTCAGGGAACGAATCATTTGAAGGTAGGGATGGCAGTAGGTACAGCAGCGGTGCGAGATAGAGGTATAGCAGTGGTGTGGTGGATCGGTTAGATCGGCAGGTCGGGTTCGGGTTGCAGGCAGCATTCTGGTGCGGGTTGAAGGCAGTGTGTAGGTGGTGACCTGATGCAGGCAGCTGTGAGTGGCGCGGGTCTGATGTAGGTGCAATACAGGTTGGTGGGTTCATCTTTGCGAAGGGAACATGAACGAACACAACGGTGGGCGACAGCAAGGGCAGCGGCTGGTGGCTCGGCACGACTCCGACTTCAAACTTTAACAGATATATATATTTTTTTGTAACGACAAAGGGTAACTCAAACTAGAAAACGAAAAAAGTTTCAAGGATCGAAACTGGACAAAAACATCAAATTAATATGAACAAACAGAAGCAAATTAAATCCGAAAAAATCAAACCTGCTCTGATACCAAGTTAAATATCAGAGTGTGTAACGAACAAGACTAACAAAATAATAGTATTATTAAATAAACGAGAATGCCGAAACGGCTACAAAACTCCAAGAGGCTAAATTGTAAATGACTTGTTTATTCTACGAGTTGCAAAACATCATATATATAGAGAACTAACCTAACCCCAATAAGCAAGAAAACGAAACCCTAACCCTAATACTAACAGACTAAGCCCAAATTCAAATAACAAAATAATCCTAAATTTCAACATTGTGATGGTATCTTCATTCTAAGTCTTGGTGTTCTTCGTTCTTCTGGGCGCGGGTGACAACATAATTAGATTAGAAGATGCATCCAGTGGGTTGTGACGTTTTGGGATTGTAATTTGTTTGAGGTGTGTGATTATGTGAGGAAATGCCATGAGTTTAGCTTCTCATCCATTTATATAATTGGATTATTTGCTTGTAATGGAGGTCAATTCACAGAGCTCTGGGTCTTGAATGCTCAATCTTTCAATGTGTTTGTAGTTTGTATTCAATTCTAACATGTATACAATCATATATTTGAACGAAAAAACACAAATAGATTCTCTTCTAATGAGGATGGGGGATCGTATAACTTGCAAGGATTGCAAAGTTATACGGTACCGGGAGAGAGCTTGGCTAATCAACATTGAGAGAAAAAAGAACAAGACCTGAAAGTGCTCAAGGCCTAGATGGTGGAATCTAAAAGGAGAAAAACAAGTCATTTTCAAAGAGAAAGTAATCACCCAATGCGTGTAGGATAGAGAGGGGGAAGCTAGCCAAATGTGAGATTCCATGGCTAGTTGTATCCGAA